TCTTTCACACTTTATATTATTTATCGATATGTATTATTTAATCCTTTCTTTCTTTTTATTTTGTAAATGATCATTATTTATTTTGTCACATTTTCATACTGTATATAGTGCTGTGCGCTTGAGGGGACTCTATCCCGGAGCGCCTAATAAATATTGATTCTATTCTATTCTATTCTATTCTCTCGTTCTCTCTGAGAACGGTGAGTGTGGATTAAAACGTGTTTCTTATTTCTTTGTCTTGTGTGCCGATTTTCTGCCGCTTCTCGCCCTTTCGGGCCTTTCTTTTTTAGTGCTGCATTGTCAAGGGCTACTTTGCTTGACCTTTGAGTATACGCTTTGCCTCTGCTCTGATCAATTTGGCCGCTTTTCTGGACTTTTCTTTTTGGATTTTTCTCTTGGAATTTCGCTAAGTTTGACGGAACGGTTTTTGACGTGATCTAGGCTATGTTTACAAAGCATCTGTATTCGGTCGTGCGATGGATGCCGGCGTAGGCGCTGGTGGGCAGGACGACAATGGCGTAGGCAGGAGGGGGCTCACGCAGTCTTCTAGCACATCTTTATTGAATTATTCAGGTATGTCAGAGAGACCTAATATTGATGCGATGAATTTCTCGAGGGTAAATGCGCGTAGGGCTACGGTGCAACGACACAGTGATGTTGTGTCCAGACTGCTATTATCTAGCAAGGAAACGCTGGATAAAAGGGCAGCGATTGAGTCTGCGTTTCGGGCATGCAGAGATGGAGGTATCTGCAGCCTTAATCAATCTGATCGATGAGCGTTCATTGTCCGGGAATCTTTCGGCGGGGGATATCAAGAAGGTCGTGGCGGAGGCGCTAAACGATATCAGTGGTCGAGGCTGATGCGAGAAGTGACGTCCGTTGTGCGGAGACCGAAGTGAGAGAAAGATCTTACGCTTCCGTTACTGGTTCTTCAAGATCGGAGATCCGGGTATCTAGAGGTCCGACGGTGGAGCTGTCCAACACCACCAGCTTCCTGGTTGTGCCCAAGGATGGTAAGAAGGATATATTTACTTCAGGCTATGTCTTAGACTACTAAAGAGACCTTGTGCAAGGTGTTCAAACCAGCTGACTGTGGTCTAAAGGTCAAAAGACTAACATACGCGCGAGATAGCGGAGTTAGGATTGAGGCTTTTTCTCCCGACATCGAGAAAATCAAGGCTTGCTCTGGTCTTGCCAACGCTGGACTTATGATATGCGAGAACGTTAAATCTAATCCAAGGCTCATTGTACATGGAGTGCCAGCAGAAATGTCTGCTGAGAAAATCAAAGATGAGCTCGTGGCTCAGAATCTGAGTCTAGATTCCGCAAGTGATCTGAAGATTGTTTTTATTTTTACACCTAAGCAGAACAGGCGCACTACCAGCTGCGTTCTGGAGCTCTCTCCCGCTGTACGCAAGGATTTACTCAAATGCGGACGGATCTATCTGCGCTACGCAGCCTACTCTTTCTCGGACCATGTCAGAATCGTGCAGTGCTATAGATGCCTCTCATTCGGACACATTGCCAAGGACCGCAGAAGCGAACCTTCTTGTGGACACTGTGCTGGTTCACACTAAATGAAGGATTGCAAAAACAGAGATCTACCGCCTAAATGTCTTCACTGGCTCACTCGGCCAGTAAAATGCCCTATATTGGGCCGAAAAATTAAGGACAAGATAGCTAATACTAACTATGAATAACATGACAAAGGACTTTGAAAATCTGAAAATCTGCCATATTAACTGCCAGTCCCTCTTCGCGCATCTTGACGAGTTTCGTCAAGATTTCTTCTGCAATGCTGACTACCACATCATCTGCATGTCGGAGACGTGGCTTCGACCTGGAATTACGGACGCCATGGTAAAACTGCCAGGGTATACGCTCTTCAGATGTGACAGAGTTGGCAGATCTAGTGGCGGAGTGGCCTTCTATTTGTCGGATTTTCTTCGTGCCTCCATCCTGTGTATCTCTGCCGAGTCCCTCACCGCCAAACCCGAATTTATAATAGCGGAAGTTTCTTTTGACAATATGTCTAAGCTCTTGCTGGCCGTGATATACCGCCCATCAAACACTGACTATCTGAATGAGTTTTTTCAACAATTTTTGGAGTTCCAAGTGGATTATAGGCATTCATTGATTCTCGGCACTTTCAATGCCGACATGAACCAAACTACCTTCGACAGTCAGCAGTTGGGTGCCTTCATCTCCGCGTCGAGCCTATATCTCGTTCCGTTTTCGTGCACACATCATCTGAAGAACTCCAGCACATTATTGGATCTATACATCATTGATGATGTAGACAAGCTTATGGGTCATGGCCAATATGGAGTTGCATTCCTGTCAGTACACGATCTTATTTATGTCAGATACGGGATCAAACTGTAGCGTCGTCGAGCTAGGCTCGTTGAATGCAGAGACTGGCGCAGTTTCGATGCAACCGCCTTTCAGTCTGATATAAGTGGCATTGACTGGACTGACCTACTGGTCTCAGATAATATGGAAGAAAAGATCGAAGTCTTCAATGCTAAATTGCTGGACATATTCAATTTACATGTACCGCTAAAGCGACGGCACTTTAAGAACTTGCCTGCCCCATGATTGACAGAGGATTTTCGTGCAGCCATGCGCAGAAGAGATATGGCCAGAAGAGCTTGGCGGAGACATAAAACTGACCATTACTACAACCGGTACAAACTACTGCGCAATGAGACACTGAGTCTTGTGCGATCTGCCAAGAGCGCCTTTTATGTTGACACCTTTAATCGTGCGGTGCAAATGAGGTTTGGAACAGACTGAGGCATCTAGGATTCATCAAGGCCAGGAGTATCTCTCCACGCCTCTCGCACGCTGTTGAGGAGCTCAATGAATTTTTTGGGCACTGTGGGAAACATCCGGATCTGGAGTGCGGTAGCTCTCGAGGACACACTCACGGGAGATTTCAATGATGAAGGTCTTCATTGGGAATATGTCATGCCATTAACTATCGCGAGGGTAATCGCTAGAGCCAAATCTAATGCAGTTGGTATGGATGGCATTTCGTTGAGACTACTGAGGCTCGCGATGAATAGTACACTGCCTATTTTAGATCATTTATTCAACTTCTTTCTGACATACGGAGTTTTTCCGTTGCAATGGAAATCGGTTCTTATCTGTCCGATTCCCAAGATCAGGAATCCGGCATCAGTGCAACATTATCGGCCGATCTCGATCCTTCCTACGTTGTAGAAAGTGCTGGAGCGTGTAGTCTGCGACCAGATGCGCGAGTATCTCGAGGACGCTGATCTTTATGATCCGTGTCAGTCTACCTATAGGAACAACAATTCAACGCAGACATGTTTGATTCGGATGCTGGACGAGGTTAGACATGCAGCTGACCGAAGGATGGTTACCGTGTCAGTTTTCTTCAACTTCTCGAAGGCTTTTGATAGGGTGGATCACTTCCTTCTAATAAGAAAACTGAAGAGGTTGAATTTCTGGGACAGTACCATACGGTGGATATATTCTTATCTTACGGGGCGGACTCAGGCTGTCAAGGACGGTGTGGAGGGCGTGATTTCGTCTCTATCTCGCGTTGGGGCTGGAGTGCCTCAGGACTCAGTTCTGGGCCCTTTACTATTTACATTATACTTGTATGACTTCGGGCGTGTACTCAAGCACTATAAATATAATTTTTACGCCGACGACCTCCAAGCCTACATCCACTGTATCCCTAAGGACCTGTCTGACGCTATCCGGATGGTTAATGAGGATATTAATGCTATCCTTGGCTGGTCGACTTCCAACAGGCTCATTTTGAACTCAGAGAAGACGTAGGCTATAGTCATGGGAACGTTGCGATACGTCAGGGCTATCGATCTAACTACTCTTCCAGAGATAATAGTGGACAAGTTTACGGTACAATACTCAACATCCATTAAGTACCTCGAAGTATCGGACGATCATAAACACTCTGTCATTGGAGAGGCAGGTCATCATCATGACAAACCAGATTCACTCGATACTGTACCAGCTAAAGCTCCGCAGACACCTGTGACCTGAAGCTCTTAGATCAAAGCTTGTAACCTCGTTAATCTACCCACACGTTGACTATTACTGTGTAGCTTACACTGACATGACGGCCGAGCATAATCTAAAACTCCACAGAACCATAAATCCCTGTATCAGATTTATTTTTAATGTGAAGCCAGACAGGCATATTACGCCCTACTACGAGAGGCTCCGGTGGCTCAAGATTGATTCTCGGAGAACTTACTTCGTAGGATGCTTACTGTTGAGGATACTGCGGACCGGACAGCCTGGCCTTTTGCACTCCAACTTTAACCATAGGGCTTTAACATCAGACCGAGCGATGAGGGCTTCGAATGACACTCTAATTCCGCCACTATGCAGGACTGAGCTGTTCAAATGTTCTTTTAGAGTAACTTCGGTCAGGCTGTGAAATGGTCTCCCTCTGTCCGTAAGAAACGCTAAAACTTTAAATGATTTTAAGCAGGGGCTCTATGCGCATTTACTCATCTGTTAACTAATAAGGTCATTGTTGGAGAAAGGATGTCACCTTAATATCACCGTTGGTAACGCGACTGTTACTAGCGCTAGGGGAACGGCACTGAATCTATAGCGCCCTCTGAGCGCTTGCGTGAGTTGGATGCCCTGAGGATACCGGGAAACAAAGGATACTGCGTTCCTTCTTCTTGCAAGGACTCTCTCGTAGTGAACGCACGCGTGCAATAATAGTACAAATATAGAAAACTATATCCAGGAGGAGAAAGCATTAAGATTGTATCAGCCTTGCCCTCAACATTAAAGATATATATATATATATATACATAAAAGCGAGTCATCATTATCATAAACATTGGTCCTTCGAGCCAGATATATCTCAAAGTCGGCAAGGGCAAGGCAGCCATAACCACAAAGACGTAATATATAGCAACGCAGTATCGAGGTGTCTCCACCTTCCTTCAATCATCCTCTTATTCCCGACGGCAGTATCATTCGTAATGCCAGCCCAAATATTAAGGGCCCTTAAAGGCAAACGGACGACAGTAAAAGCACAGTGCACACGCACGCGAAACGCGATAGATGCGATAAATCCGCAAACGGTAGATATTACGTACGTGAAGCAACGGAAAGAGAAATTTGTTGAATATTGGAATCTATTCAATGTGACTCAAGGGCAAATCGACGAGTTTTTAGCAACTGATATGGATTTGGAAAATGTAGAAGAGCTTAGAACCGAACAAGAAACAGAATACGTAAACTTCGAAGAAAATTATTTTTGTATTGCTGGTAAAATAGAACGCTTATTATCACGCGATTACAAACCGGTCGACGGAAACGAAGCGCGAGCAAGGAGCAATGGCGAGCAAGCACCGATTGCTGAAGGCAGTGTACGCGATATTAGTCAAATTCTTTTACCGAAAATTGTCATACCAAAATTTAACGGAAATTATGAAGACTGGTATCCGTTTTACAATACTTTTGAGTCCATGATACATGCAAATACGAGATTAACAAATAGCCAACGGTTTCACTATTTAATTTCATCTCTCGAGGGCGATGCCGCACACGTTATTGAATCACTAGAAATCACTCCCGATAACTATGTTGAGGCGTTAGATTTATTAAAACAGCGGTATGACGATAAGCGTGTAATAGCGCAAGAGCACATAAAGGCATTATACGATCTACCTACGGTAACAAAGGGCAATCACACAGCGTTACGAAAATTACTTGATGACGTGTTGCGACATTTGCGCTCTTTAAAAAGTTTATGCAGGCCGACTGAGCATTGGGACGATCTTGTCGTTCATTTAGTTGTTACGAAACTGGATTCAAGCCTTGTTAGCGAATGGGAAAATCATATTCCAACGGACGAGATTCCAACTTTAAAGCAAATCACTGACTTTCTTGCTCACAAATGTAAAGCAATGTCAGTCTTAGCAAAAAAGGTATCCAGTGATACATCCGCGCCCAATCCACGCAAGAATAACAAATTCGCTAACGTTCATTTAACCACGTCTATTATTTACTGCGCTCATTGCAAAGGAAGGCATCATATATTTCAATGTTCTAGTTTTTTAAAATTGTCGAGTGCGGATAGAAACAAGGAAGCGAGAATTAAGGGACTATGCCTTAATTGTCTGCGTTCCATCTCTCATCAAGCTAAGGATTGCAAGTCGTTAACATGTCAAACATGCAACAAAAAGCATAATACGCTTCTTCATGTGCAGGAAAGACTCCAAAGGGATACCGAATCCACAAGTCAATCTCATCAATCAAACAACACTAACACAGTAACTTTGAATCATCATATCACTCAAGATAAGTATTATCAGGTCATATTGTCAACTGCAGTCGTCAATGCTATTGACCAGAGCGGCAATTCACATACATGTAGAGTACTGCTAGACTCGGGATCCCAATCTAGTTTTATCACAGAGAAATTAGCAAGCAAATTAAATCTCACACCAAGGCAAATCAATATAGCTATAACAGGAATAAATAATTCACAGACGCATTCTTGTCATGTTGTTAATGTACGCATAAAGTCGCGTCATATGTCATTCTCACAAGAAGTCGAATGTTACATATTAAACGCCATTACTGAAAACTTACCTCGAACTCGCATAAATATCAACGATTTCAAAATTCCAAATAACATAAGATTGGCCGATCCTCATTTTCATAAACCAAACGAAATAGACATGCTCATGGGCGTTGAATTGTTCTGGCAGTTATTATGTGTGGGGCAGATACAGAAACATAAAAATCAGCCCATCTTCCAGAAGACACAACTAGGATGGATCGTCAGCGGTAAGGCTCATGAGAGAGTACACCCGCAAAATCTAAAATATGCAGTCTATCAATTAATCAACAAATTAATCAGACTCTCACCAAATTCTGGGAAATGGAACACATTATCAACGAGACCCCATTTAATCCTGAAGAAGCAACCTGCATGAATCACTTCACAAAGAATACAACAAGAAGTAAGGATGGGCGGTTTATAGTGCAAATGCCTTTCAAAGAGACAAAATTACAACAGCTTGGTGAATCTCGTAGCATAGCATTGAGCAGATTCTTGTCCATGGAACGTAAATTGAAAAAACAACCAACGTTAAGGGAACAATACGTGCAATTCATGACGGAATATTCAAACTTAGGACACATGGTACGCATAACAGAGGAAGAAGCAGTGAAATGTACCCCACGTTATTACATACCGCATCACGCAGTAGTAAAAAGTAATAGCCTAACAACAAGGTTACGCGTAGTATTTGATGGTTCCTGTAAAACTAGCACCGGAATATCATTGAACGACTGTCTTATGGTGGGACCAACTATACAACAAGATCTCTTTTCAATTCTACTGCGATTCCGTACATTTCGATATGCAATTACGGCAGACATCGCTCAAATGTATCGCCAGATACGAATGAACAAAGCTCAAACTGCTCTTCAAACAATATTTTGGCGGAAGGACCCAAGTGAAGAAATAGCCACGTTCGAATTGCAAACTGTAACATATGGAACCGCATGTGCATCTTTTTTGGCAATAATAGAACTGGCAAATCTAAATGCATCAAATTATCCAATAGGATCAACCACAATCATTAACGACTTCTACGTTGACCTATTATCCGGAGCCGACACTGAACTTGAGATAAGGCAACTTCGAGATGAAACTATCAAGATACTAGAACAAGGAGGACTTCAGCTTAGAAAATAGGCATCCAATTTTCCTGACGCATTAAAGGCGAGCCCATTCATTTCATCAACAAAGGTTAAGAAGTATCCACATTAGGAATGCAATGGAATATAGCAAATGATGAATTCCAGTATGATATCAACACATCAAGCGTTCGGAGGGTGACCAAAAGAACTATGTTGTCGGCATTATCTAAAATATTTGATCCCTTACGTCTGTTAGGGCCTATAACGCTCACCGTCAAGGTGTTGATTCAAAGGGTCTGGCAATTAAATCTAGCATGTGACGAAACGGTTCCTATGGACATACACACTACATGGTCACAGTACGAATCTCAATTAAACATGATTCGCAATTTTAGAATACCGAGGTACGTGGCATACAAGGATGCTTCCAAAACACAGCTACATGGTTTTTCGGACGCAAGTGAGAAAGCGTATGGAGCTTGCGTGTACCTTAGAGTTAGTTCTCCTCAAGGTCAAAATTTAATACGACTGCTATGCTTGAAATCTCGCGTCGCCCCATTGAAAACAATTAGCCTACCACGACTAGAATTATGTGGAGCTCTGCTACTAGCACAACTAATGAATAAGGTCTTGCAAGCATTACGTTTTAAATCAGAAGGTGTACGTTATTGGACGGACTCAACCATAGTACTACACTGGATAAAAGCAACGGACAGAAAGTAGAATACATTCGTCTCGAACAGGATAGGTGAAATTCATAAATTATCGCAAACAAACAGTTGGTATCACGTAACGACAGATTTCAATCCAGCAGATCTTATATTTCGAGAATCTCTTCCTGCATCTTTAATTAAATCAGACTTTTGGTGGCTGCGGCCAACATGGCTATATAAAGAACCTCAAGATTGGAATACTAGCATCCCAGTGCTGTCATCAAATGACTTACCAGAACAGAAGCGAAACGTCAAGGCATTGATTATAGAAAAACAGTACAAGCAAAATTTATTTAAACAATTTTCCTCGTTAAACAAGCTAATCAGAATTAACGTCCTTTGTCTGAGATTCATTCGTAACGTTAAAAATAAAGCAGAAAACGAGATTACAGGTCGTATAACCACTCAGGAACTAGTGGAGTCCAACTTACAGCTTGTGAAAATCATCCAGGAAGCAGCATTTAAAGAGGACTTGCAAGCTTTGAAATCAAAAGGACACGTCTCACAAAAAAGTAGTTTATTGAACCTAACTCCATTTATCGACAAGGAAAACGTTATAAGAGTAGGCGGACGTCTTCAAAATGCAGCAATATCACCCGACGCAAGGCACCCGATTTTGTTACCACCAAATCATCCGTTTACGCATTTAGTTATAGCGCAAGAACATCAAAAGCAATTACATGCGGGAGCACAAGCCACTTTAGCAGCGGTTCGTGTCAAATATTGGCCTCTCTCAGCTCGCAACAGTGTCAAAAAATACATTAAGAAATGTATAATCTGTTTCAAAGCAAATCCGCGTACGTCTGAAGCAATTATGAGTGAGTTACCTTCATATAGAGTAACACCATCTAAACCATTTGCGTGTCGATTACGGTGGTCTGTTTCATATAAAATCGGGGCAGCTTCGCAACGCCAAGTTAATAACGGCTTACATAGCTATTTTCGTATGTTTAGCCACAAAAGCTGTACATATAGAATTAGTGAGTAATCTTTCTACCGAAGCATTTCTAAATGCTTTTAAATGTTTCATTGCTCGAGGTAAGGTGTCACACATATATTCCGATAATGGAACAAACTTTCAAGGAGCGTCTAACAAATTGAAGAAACTTTATCAAATGTTGCACAATAAGCATCACCAAGGTCAAGTGGATAGTACGTTAAAGAAAGATAGTACCGAATGGCACTTTATTCCTCCCCATGCACCTCATATTTCGGTGGCATTTGGGAAGCGGCGGTAAAATCGGCTAAAAATCATTTAAAACGTGTTGTCGGCGATGTAGCATTAACCTTTGAAGAAATGTACACTGTGCTCACTCAAATTGAAGCGGTTATGAACTCACGCCCGTTGACACCACTCTCCAATGACCCTAATGAACTTTCCTACTTAACACCTGGACATTTCCTAGTTGGAGACGCTCTTACCTTTATTCCAGAGCATGATATCACGCATTTATCAATCAATAGGCTTTCACGATGGCAACATGTCAATCAAATATATCAACATTTTTGGAAACGCTGGAATCACGAATATTTACAGCAATTACAGGAACGAACCAAGTGGCAACTGTCCAAGGGATTGCAGCCAAATATTGGTGATACGGTCATGATGCAAAAATGAGGCAATACCTCTGAAATGGCTAGTCAGACGTATAGATGACATTTACTCGGGCACAGATGGAGTAGCCCGAGTAATCTCCATTCGGACTACAAGGGGAACATACAAGAGACCAATCACTAAAGCATGCATTTTGCCACTTCAAAGGGATTAATTTGTTTTTGTTTTACTTGTCTATAACTTTTCTTTTTTTTTAAGGGTTAACCCATTCAAAGGGGGGAATATGTTGGAAAAAGGATGTCACCTTAATATCACCGTTGGTAACGCGACTGTTACTAGCGCTAGGGGAACGGCACTGAATCTATAGCGCCCTCTGAGCGCTTGCGTGAGTTGGATGCCCTGAAAGGAAACGAAGGGTTCCTTCTTTTTGCAAGGACTCTCTCGTAGCAAACGCACGTGTGCAATAATAGTACAAATATATAATAGAAAACTATATCCAGAAGGAGGAAGCATTAAGATTGTATCAGCCTTGCCCTCAACATTAAAGATATATATAGACATAAAAGCGAGTCATCATTATCATAAACAGTCATGATTCTCGTTGTCCTTGACACTCTGGCATACCATTTTCATTTTTCATTTTCCATTTCATTTCATTACATTTTTCATTACATTTTCCATTTTCCATTTCTTATTTTTCGTTTTTCATTTTATACTTCTCACGCTTCACTTTCCATCATAGATGCATAGTAAACACAGCACTGGGTTGTATGTGTGCATGCGTATGTTTATATCTGGGCATTCATACACACACAAACGCTCATACAGAACATCACATGCACAGCGACACAATTCAACTTAACATTACACTTTACACATTCTCATACACATCTACACTTCACACACACACTTACTTGTACTTACACTACATGTATATAGCCTGTATTTTATTTTATTGTACACTACTTTTCCATGTATTGTTTTTGCGCTTGAGGGGATTCGCCCCAGAGCGCTCAATAAATGAAGCTTTCCCTCTCTCTCTCTCTCTCTCCCACTTCCTTTCCATCTCCCCTCTACCTCCCTTCCTCCTTCCCTCTCGCTCTCCCTCTCGCTCTCCTCTCCCTCTCTCTGCCTCTGCCACTGCCTCTCCCTCTGCCTTTGCCTCTCCTTCTCCCTCTGCCTCTGCGTCTCCCTCTGCCACTCTCTCCACCTCCTCCTCTCCCTCCCCCTCCCCTACCCTCACTCCCGCTCCCCTCCCGTTTCCCTCTACCCCTCCCCACATACTCTCCACCCCTTTCCCTCCCCACAACAACCCTCCCCCTCTTCTCTCCCTGCACCTCTCCCTGCCCCTCTCCCTGCCCCTCTCCCACCCCTCTTCCCTCTCTCTCTCTCTCGATGGTCTAATGATACAGAGTTGGCGACAGATGCTCGCGCTGCAGCCGTTTAAGTTTTACAAGTGTTTAAAAGGGCGCGATGCGCTTCTATTCTTGTCCGGCTGTTCGCCGAGAGGCAGATTTCCGGATGTTATGGCGGATGTTATAACGTAAGAAGACAGTTACAAATTTAAGAGAAAAAATCACAATTATATGTACTTTAAACACAATACACAAGTGTCTAAAGGACACAAATAGCATTTTACCAAAAGTCTATGGATTATTAAAAATTAATAAAATGATTAAATAAAATACTAATTGTTAATAATATATTAATTAAATGTAATATGCAGGATGATTCAAAACAACCTGATGTCCTTGAAATGTCATATTCTTGAACAAATTCTGAAACGATTTTTCCTTTTACAAAATTTTGTCCAAAGCTTACTTTATGAGTTATAATTGAAAATAGTTAGCTAGTTACGAGTCCGGCAGACGATGCAACGCGTTACGAGACTTACTTCACAATTTCACAATAAATATCATTGAAAACATTACTGTTTTGGTAAAAATGACGTTTAGGGGATGCAGCCCCGATGACCTTGACCTTGACTTATGTTGTCAAGGTCACCCTCCAAAGATAGAGGGAAATTAAATTAGAAATAGGTTTGGGTTAGGTTATTTCTTCCGGAAGTGGAGCCCCCCCCGTAGGGAGAGCGGAACTCACTGTTTTATGCATACACTTTTTAATGAGAAGTGAAATTCCACATGGGTTTACAACTTTTCACGCAAAGCGAGATTCAACTCATGTACAACCCATGTAGAATCTCACTTTGCTTTAAAAAGTGTATGCATGGATACAGTAGATTCAGCTCCCCCCCCCCTACGGGGGGGCTCCACTATCAAAGAACTAGACACATTGGTTTGCGTTGAACCTCGCTTCGCGTGGAAAGTTGTAAATCTATGTGGAACCTCACTTCGCATTAAAAAGTATGCATAAAACAGTGGGTTTCGCCCCTCTACGGGGGGGCTCCACTTCCGGAAGAAATAACCTAACCTAAACCTATTTCTAATTTAATTTCTCTCTATCTTTAAAATATAAGCTTGGTAATTCATGCCGAAATATATACTATATACAGTCTTATGTCGCAAGTATCGGTCGGTCACTATCTTCAATTGTTAATAACTTTGTAATAAACGACGAGCACCCCACGGGAAGGCTGCACTTCCGGAAAATATAACTTAACCCAAACAGTTTTAAAAGTAAAGTTGGATTACTTTTTATTGTCAGACTACGTACAAACCTTGATTTTTACAAATCTTTTGTTAATAATTTTTTAATAAACAACGTGCGACGGCTAAAACCTTCTGAAGGTCACTCAGGAGGGTGACCTTGACAACATATGTCAAGGTT